AAAGAAAGGAAAAAGAAAATAGAAATGTTCTAAAAAGACCTTAATCTTACATTTTCCTCCTTCAGCTAACAAATTTCACCTCTTAGGCAAGCTGCTGAATAAATGTTTATAGTTGAGGGTGAATTAGTATAATACACTAGTATACTGATCACATCTCTTACAAGAGTTAACAATGAGGTACCAAAAAAAAATAAAAAAACAGAGGCATGGTTAGTATAGAGAGATATTTGTAGAAACATAGGGAAATATATTTTGATGAAGTACTTTGTGAAAGCAGTTAAATAGAAAGCTTAAAGAAGCTTGAAATATCCCACTGTCCTGGCTCTTTCTCTCTCTCTTTGTATTTGGAAATGCTGAACATGAGGTCAGTCTGCAGTGAACCAGCACCTGCAAGTGCATGAAATCAGAAACTGAGTATGCAGAGGGGGAAAGGAAAAACAAAGAATAAAGAAAATAATAATTAAGGCATCACACCAAATTCTTATCTCACAAGCAGATGGACAAGAGAACGTGTTTTTCAACTGGACTTCAGTTTCCAGTTCATTTCCTTTAACATTTAACATCTGAAAATGAAAGATCTCAAAGATGAAATCCTGGACTTTCTTTTGCTTCTGTGTCATAAGTTGTCTGTAATTTTGTAACTTTATTTAAAAAAAAAAAAAAAAAGAATTTTGTTCATACTAAACTGAATTATCCATTTCATTTAATATTTGAATTTATTTTAAATTTAAAAAAAAATACTAATTTTTAAAAATCAACACACACAAAAAATAATCTTGTAGTACTCTAAAATTATAGGCAGTTCTGAAAAATTTCATTTTGAAAAATTTAAAAAGTTGCTAGACTGTAAAATAAAAAGTTTTCCTATTACTCCAGGTGTCTTCTTAGGTGAGTTCAAACTTAATAATTTACTTATTTAAGTCTTCCATCCCCATTCTCAATATCACTTGAGAAAAAATCACACAAATTCTAAGTTACTTACAAACAAAGACAAATATTGTCAAATATATGTAGATAGATAGATAGTAGGGAAATAAAAAATAAAAAATAAAAAATACTGCAACAGATATCTTGTAGCATAAAGATAATCACAGCTAGATACATAATTTGATGAAACCTGTAGCCAAATTTTGATTGCCAGCAAGCAATGCAAATATGATTTGTAGAAATTAACATCATAACTAAATATAGTGGTATTATGGGTGTAAATAGAGTCTGGTGCTAGCTATGGCACAGAATGGCCACTGCCATTGTGTTGTTGTTGTTGTTGTTGTTGCTTTTGGTTTTGTTTGGTTTTCCTACAACATGGAACTAAAGAAATCAATTAGAAAAGACAAGAAAAAGAAGGTAAAAGTAAGCACAATAGGACAGCCTATGTCTTCTCTGTTTTAGCTTTACTCATTATGCTCATCTCCAAAGAAGCATATCAAGTTCTCAACTTCTTTTAAGGTTCTCATGTATAAGTACTTTTCCCTGCCATACATTTATCCTACTCACCATAGCAGTCACATGTGTACTTTTCACACTGTGAATAAGACAGCAATTGTTTGTTGTCAGTGAGGAACTACAGAGGAACAAGTTCCAGAAGAGACAGTCATAGCTCTTTAATGAAGGGCTCTTGCACCAACAAAGCATGAACTTGCCCAGACTGAAAAAGAACACCTTTGCGTGATTGCATGTAAAATAGTCTGCCCGAGGACAGACAATTATTCGCACAAAAACTAATGACAAATCCTTAAAGAGAGCCTCCAAAATGATTTCTTATTCAATAGTACATGCTATTGAAGTGGAAGTGATATAACAAAAGGCTTGAATGCTAACAATACCACCAAGAATGCCTCTAAACAGATCAAAAGTGATGATGAGACTCAGAGCAAGGGTGAAGGAGTCAGAGGCTCAGATGGCATTTTCATTAATTCTTCCATCAAGGGTCAAAGGATCAGGCCAGGACAGATTCATTCTACAGATGAAAGTAGGCCTGCACAGATGGTTCACCAGGAGGGCTTTAGTTTCCTTGATTTTGGGAAGATGTTCCCTGAGTGGAGTGTAGATTCTGTGTAATGAAAAGCGGTTACAGAATCTTTGCATTCACTAGCTTTAGAGAAGAAAGTCTTCTTCTGTGACTGACCAGGGACAAGAAAGTATAATGATTTGGTTAAAGTCCCATATCCAAGAAGGATAAAGTTACTCATAGTAACATAACAGAATGAAAATAAGTTGTGTGAGATG